AATTCTGTATTTAACTGATTATAAACTGACGTAATAAAAAATGTTAATGAATCAGAAGAAATTGAGTGAAAAATTGTTTTATTATTTGTCAAATTTTTCATTGCAGTAACAGACGTGTTACATTGTAACAAAGTTGAATTCGATAAAATTTCATCTTTAATAATAAAACAGACTGCGTCAGGTAAAATATGATACATATAACGTAAAGATTGAAAACCTTTTGAAATGACATAAAAACCGGGCTTTTTGCTAAACAAACAATTTTCAAAGCTTGCATTATTGATAACTATAAGAGGTATTTTTTGTTGCAAATCAATGCATTTAAAACCAACCAATGTGTATCCACAGCAACAAGTAATTGAAATACAGGTTTTAGTGACTTCGCTGTAATATAATCCCGTATCACAGTTAACTTGTATAGTTTCTATAAAGGACACAGTATTAGATATAAAGCTTCTATCTTCACTTGGCATGATTGTATTTCCCATAGGTCGAGTTGAATTTACTATAGTAATGTTTCTAAAGTATAGAAAAGGGTCGTCAAATTTCTTTTTAGTATTGTCAAACAATTCTGTTGTGGAGTTAAACCATTCTGTTTTATTATTTTTAAGAAAAATATTATAATTGGACCATAGTATTGTTCTATTAATCCATTCTAGAGTAAAATTAAACCATACTGGAGTAATATTGAACCATACTGTAGAATAGTTAAACCATGATTGAGTATAGTTAAACAATACAGAAGTGTAGTTTAGCCATTCTTTTTTATCATTAAACCATGCTGTAGTATAATTAAACCAATTTTTAGTGTAATTAACCCATTCTAAGTTATCATGGAACAATGGCAATGAATAATTTAACCATATCGGAATATAAGAGAGTTGAAAGGTAGTAGTGTTTTGATTTGATGCTATCGTATCATTTTCGAAACATTTAAAACAATCATAATTTTTATAATTCAAGAAAGTTCCTGAGTATGCTTTACACAATGGGTAGTGCTTACTACTTGTTGGGCAGTGCTCGATCACGTGAGAAAAACAAATAATAATATTGTCACTAGTTTCTATTTTTTTATTTAATGACACTGTGCAGTTTTTATATTGTTGAAAAATCCAATTTACTTTGAGTGATGTTACATTTATTTGTATCTTTTTTTGTTGAGGTTCTAACAGACACTCGAAAGAAAGATTTATTGCTATAGGTTCAGCAAAGTTACAACGTGCGCAAGCGGCATTTCTATACACAACATTATCGGAACCTTTTACTGGAACATTGTTTGCATAAGGATATTCATAACTGTTTATGCATAGTTTCACTAGTTCTGTTTCAGTACCATCCTGACAAGAATGCACCATTAAAATTTCACTACTTTCGTGTCCTGAACCAACGGGTACTGATATAATTTTTTCACATACCATGTCTTTATAGGAACTCGACTTATTAACTAACATTTCTAGGTAAATGTCCAACGGTAATGGATTGGTGTTGTTCCATAGTTTATCGATGCAGCAAGTTTTAGATGCAAAGCAGGTATCGTCACAATTGCACAACCTTAAATCTGAGCCATGGTGATGACACAGAAATATAGAAGTGTTAATAACACTAATGTTTTCCATATATTGCTTCAATGGAAACAAACTTAATTCTTGCGCAATTAAAGCATGTAATATAGATGCGTATAAAAAAAAGTTAAGTGTCATTTTTAATAAAAAATGTTTGAAATATTCTTTGGCGTAGTTATATTCTGCAAGTCATGATTTTTGGCAACCACACTATAATTAATCGTTTACTTTTATACTCTTTCAAAGTCTTTTTTTTTATTTTTGCATGATTAAATTAAAACATTAAAAATGTTTTCAAATGTTATTAAATAACATGAAAATTTATAAAAATTTTAAAAAACATCTTTGCGTTTATGTTTATGAAACAAGTGTAACCATGGTTTTATAACACCATAGTTTTTTTTTTAATTTTTTTTTACTGTAACCAAACATTTAATTATTATTCTAAATAAATTTTGTTTTAAAATTGTTTGAAATTCAAATGTTGAACAATTTGATTGTTCTTTGTTTTTTCTTTTATTTATTTGTTCATTTTTTTTTTAAATCAATAAACTATACAACTAGGATTAAGGTCAGGTGAAATCCAAATCACAAAGGCTAAATTTTAATATTAACTTATAACTAATTTTTTTTAACATCTAGAAGTTATTTTTATTTTATTAATTAGTTATAAATTTAAAATATTTTTTTAATTTTACACGTAACTAGGCGCTCTAAATAATAATAACAATAATAATAATAATAATAATAATAATAATAGTAATAATAATAATAGCAATAATAATAATAATAATATTTTAAATTAAGAGTCGTTAAAAAATCACTAAATAATGTTTTATTTAAACAATTACTGTAAAATTTCGTCTTGCTAAGAAAAAACTAAATAAAAAACAAAAATTCCACTAAAACGAATTTGGGCCACCCACAAATTGCGGGATCAGAGCAAAAATGTTGTAACTCGTAGTTTTGAGAAACGGAGAAAACGCGGTTTGAAAGTTAGGATGTCTTGCATAAATCAATGAAAATCCAAAATTTTTTAGATTAAATTTTAATCTAAATCATATAAACTTAATCAAAATGATGATAACATCCTCAGCCCATGACAATGGGAATTGAGACCAAAGCGATATGAGCTATAAATAACATTTTTTAAAAATTTTTATGTATACAATCTTATATACAATCTATGAGCAGCCGTTGCCCATCGGTTAAAGCTCTTGCTTTAGAAACAAGAGATCCAAGGTTCGAAGCGAGTGTTGGGCATGAACTTCCAAGTCAAGTGCTCTTCAGCATTTCACAAGACAGTGCACTGTGACAAGACAGTTAGTTCACTGTGACAAGACAGTTAATGCACTGTGACAAGACAGTTAGTGCACTGTGACAAGACAGTTAGTGCACTGTGACAAGACAGTTAGTGTACTGTGACAAGACAGTTAGGTCGTTTTGGGGAACCTAAAATAAAAAATAAAAAAAAAAAAAAGAAGAAAAGATACTGATTTTAATAAAATATTAAATGGGCAAGATGGTGCACTTGTTATTTTGCCCGGATCAACTTGCCCAGCAAACACAATTCTACTAATTTAATCAACAACTCTAACACCCTACAATAGCTACATCTACATTTACTATAATAATATGAAAAAATAATATTATTATAGTAAATGTAGTTTATTATAATAAAAAATTATATTTACTATAATAATATTAATTATTATAGTAAATGTAATTTATTATTATAGTAAATTACATTTACTATATTTGTATTAAAAAAACAATACTATTATAGTAAATGTAATTTTTTATAACAATAAAATGCATCTAATATAATAATAATTATTATTATTATGGTAAATTTAATTTATAATAATAATAATAATAATTTATTTTTGAGGATGGGTCAGTCAAAAATTGACAGTTTGACTTAAGGGAAGGGGATCTAAAAACCAGGAAAACTCACTTACATTATTTGTGGACTCAACTTAATTAAATAAAAAAACGATTATTTGTACTGAACTGTTTGAATTATATTAAATTAACAATAACAAACAAAGCCGCACGTATTCCATTTAAGTAAGTAAAGATTGGTGTTCTAGACAAAAATTAATTAACAAAAATCGGAAAATTATATCCTCACATAACTATATTAATTTTGACTCCCCCATATTTTTCTATAACCTCATAGATATATACAAATACGCAATTTAATTATAACCATTCTTTCTTTTTATTTAGCTACTTTCGAACTTCTATTTCACACCCTTTATAACTACTCGCCTAAAGCTTATTCTAATTATTACTTTTTAAAAACCTACTCTAATTGATTCTAAAAAAGTTTGCCAAAGTTTTTAGAACAAGATTGTTCAAAAGATTGTTCGAAAGATTGTTCGAAAGATTGTTATAAAAATATTAGTGAAAAGTTATGATTTAATTCACAATTATCAGTTCCTTTCCCAAGTAGCAAACAATATTGGCGCAATATTGGCGCGATATTGTTTACAATATTGGCGCAATATTGTAAACTATATCGCGCCAATATTGCAATGTCAACATTTTGCCAATATTGGCCAATATTGGCGGTACAACATTGCGCCAATATTGTAAATTCAATATTGGTCAATATTGGCGGTACAATATTGCGCCAATATTGTAAATTCAATATTGGCCAATATTAGCAAAATGTTGACATAACAATATTGGCGCGATATCGTTTACAATATTGGCACAATATTGTGAATAATATCGCGCCAATATTGGAGATATAATACTGGCCAATATTATATGTAGATAAATGTTTTATGTAATATAATATATAAATTATATTACATAAAACATTGTATTTATTTATATATAATTTTTTTTTGTATTTATTTTACATATTAGATAGAACAAGTTAAACATTAAAAACAATATTACACCAATATTGGCCAGTATTATATCCCCAATATTGGCGCGAAATTATTTTCAATATTGTGCCAATATTGCAATGTTAACATTTAAAATGTTTTACCTGATATAATATATTATAATATATTATATCAGGTAGAACATTTAATATTTATATATTCTTTTTTGTACTTATTTTATATATTAGATAGAGCATTTTATAAATAATACAGAAGGGACGAACTGTTTAACCCGAAAGAACAATGCAGTTTTTAGTATAGACTATAGTATATATATTTTTGCAAATAGTTTAGACTATAGTTGTATAACTTGACTTATAGTCTAGAAGGCGATAATAATCTAGGAACGCTTTGAAAAAATAAGACTTTTTACAAACTATTAATAAATCTATTAGAAATTATATTAAACTGATACAAATAAAAAAAGAAAGTAAACCTCAATATAACAACTTAAATAAACTTTCAATAATATATATATATATATGTATATATATATATATATATATATATATATATATATATATATATATATATATATATATATATTATATTTATTACATTACACCCTCACTATCAGATAATGGGCATTGATTCACTATCAGTTAATGGGCATTATCTTCGCGACATTCATTTTCATCGCTCAAAAGTGGGCTTTGCTCAATTGCGGTTCTATTCTTTCTTCCGCCGTCTCTATCAATGGCCGTAGCCAGAAAGCTGCCGATTCTTTCTTTAATGCTCTTATCATTAGCGTTTTCAAACTTTTTTTTTATGGCAGCTGAAAACAAATTTTATGTTAATAATGTTAAACAAAACATGAACAAAATGTAATATTAAAAATTATCAAATTTATTAATTCAACTAAATATGAAGATAAATAATTAAAGAAAATTACCTATAACCACCTTGCAGGACGTAAGAGACGAAAAGGATTTCTTTTGTTTCCTGCCATACAAAGAATATAACAAGCATACTTTTTTAGTCAATAGTTGTTTTAAAATAGCCGTGGTAAGTTGCTTGTAATCGTCGCCTCCAACCGATGCAAGGAAGTTCATCTAAAACAAAAAACAAAAAAACAAATCTAATTTGTTTACAAAAATATATAATTGGTTGTAATAAAAGTTTAAAGGTTCCATAAATGTGTGTATTTCGAACGGGTTTACATAATGCGACAACGTGGTTATCTATAATGATATTTAAATATGACATTATCAAAGAGAAAAAGCAATTTGTTACAAATAGAAGCAATCCCTGAGGTCAACCTGTTTTGCTGATCAAGATTTATTATCATAAATGTTTTATAAAGTGATAAAAGCACTAAGAAAATCATACAAAATTTACCACAGGTTTATGAGCTTCTCATATCCCTACCAATAACTACACAATAGCATCAGATTTTTCATTCACTAGTATAGGTTGTCTTTACCACAGAAAAAAAGTTAGGATGAATGCAATCTGAAGTTTCTAATGTGAGAGACCTTATGATTATAAGACTCATTGCTATATTAAATGAGCTAACTGGGCATAAATAGTTAAAACTACAACACAATTTAATAAAGATACTTTATATAAAGCATTCTTTTTAATATCATAATTAAATCAAATGTATAGTATATTTTACAGTATAGAAATTTTAAATGCACATGGAACTGTTTCTAAAAACTATTAAATGATATCAATTCACTGATACATACCAAAGATTCATAGGTGTCTTTGTTCTATAATTTTTCATCCAGGTCTAAAAGTTCTTTTTCCTCTTTAACAGGCAAATAATTCCATTGAACTGATGGGGATGGTCCTGCTATGCTCTGATTGCTAACAGTAGAAGGAAACACTAAGCTTTTTTCTAAATTGATTAGGCAAGTGTTTAACTTTTTTAAATCATATTGAATACTGACAAGCAGCTCTAAACTTTTCTTCTCAAATGCTTCAATAAAAAAATAAATCTGACTTTAATAAAAAGCATATCAAATAGATTAGCTTTTTATGAAAGTCAACACAAAAAAACGAGAAAAAAAAAACAGTATAACTACATTCAAAAATATATTGAAGAGTAAATTTAATTAAACTTTCAAATAAATAACCCATCAATATAAATCTTTACCAGAAAATCGGGTGCCTAAAGCAGCCACAACAGTTGCCAAGCTCTGGTCAGAAGAGGAAGATATCGGTATAGAATGATTCGAACTAAATGGCTCAATATATCAAACAGTTGTGGGTTGTAAAATATTTTGGCAATTAAAAGATTTCTTCAATCTTGGGGAAACTGATGGATAAACCTCAGTGTCACTTGTATTGCAAACTGCTAACTTTTTAGCTGGTGGCATAGACAATTCTTCATCACTTTCAGCAGCTGTTTCAACGCTTGATGTGAATTCTAATGTTTCCATTCGTTCTACAGCAGTTTCATAACTGTCTAAAAAATTTAAAGTAAAGATATATATATATATATATATATATATATATATATATATATATATATATATATATATATATATATATATATATATATCTGTTTAGATCATTAGCATCTAGCATGTGTGTAATGTAAAATTAAACAAGGAATAATAACATAATAACGACAATTACCAGAATAATAAAGAATTCTTATTTTTAACTGTTTCCAATTACTTTCAGGAGTAAGTGTGGCTTCGCGTATGGCAGTTAAAAGGCGAGATGATCTCAAATGATTGGGTCAAAACACTAAACTTTCATTGATCAGCCATGACGAACAGATAACGTCCATGGCACACAAACTTTTTTTTTTTTCATCAAGAAATTCAGCCACAGCGAATTTTTTAATTTTTGCTGTCATCTTCAATTTTACTGTACAATATGTGTATAAAAAAAACATAAAAAAATTTGAAAAAATTAAAAAAATTACCAAGAGTAATTTAAAAATTATAATAATAAGTTTATAAGGCGGGGCTAGGAATTTTTATTTTATATAATTACAATTTTTTTCTGTTTTTTTTTTTTTTTTTTTTCGAGCTATAAAAGTTAAATAATATATCTGTTATGAAAGGTAAAAAAATATCGGAAAATCACAAATATATAAACATGTATATATATATATACATATATATATATATATATATATATATATATATATATATATATATATATATATATATATATATATATATATATAAAGCACTATGTGTTACATTGTGTTTGACTGACCAGCAAATAAGCAGTTCTTTCAAAGTAACTTCATCCTGAGCCTCTTCATTGTCACTGGAACATGAAGGATAGTAGCCATGCTCATCATCAGTTATGTTACAGTCATCATCAAAACTATTAGTCAAATTCGAGGGTTGGTTTTCATCAAAATATGATATGTCACCAAACTCAAATTTGAGGATTTTAATGTGTCTTCAGCCAAATAATTATAAGAATTTTGATATAACATATTATGGTTAATAGACTCATCACTGAAGTTTATTGAATTTCCACAGTTAAGTAATTCATTCGTATTTTCAACATTACTTGTTGAGTGAATTTCATTTAAATGTTGCTTTACTACTCTTCTAATATAATGTGATTTAGCAGATCGAGTTGTTTTTATTGATTTTTTCATTACCTATAACATTATATGACACTTAAGCATAAAATAAAATGCTATATAAAATAAAGTTATATATATATATATATATATATATATATATATATATATATATATATATATATATATATATATATATATATATATATATACATATATTATTAAATCAAGATTTAATATTACCTTATTTAAAATTTATTCATTTACAAACTTATTAAAAGGTAAACTATATGACGTATTTGTTACTTAATTGAATATCTTTAACTTAATTGAATATATTCAACAAAATAAAATAGACTTTACAAATCTTGCAGATGTAATTAACTCAAACTGTTTTTATATAAAAGTAAACTTACTATTTCAATTTTTATCTTAGAGCACAGAAATATTTTTTCACTTCTTCTCGTGATACAATCTGTTTCTAAATGAACTGCAACCACTTCTTCTCGTGATTCAATCTGTTTTAAATAAATTACAACCACTTCTTTTCGTGATACAATCTCTAAATTTTCAATTAAAAGGATTTCTTTACTTTTACCACTTCTTCTCGTGATACAATCTGTTTTTAAATAAATTAAAACCACTTCTTCTCGTGATTCTATCTGTAAATATTCTATTAAAAGTATTGTGGACATCAAAGTAGGTACGCGCATATACGTCATTTACGGAACCGATTTTTGTGATAAAATCTTGTGACTCGTTTTTTTCACTTTTTTTTAGGCAGCGTGGGGTAGACGTAGTTTTGTGGAGTTTCTTTTTAGAAACATATATACACATAGATACTTTTTGGAAAGAAGAGAAGCTGATCTTTATTTTTTTTAAACTTTTATGTATGGTTACTAAATTTTTTAAAGGATTATTTTGCTCCTGAATATTTGGTTGATGTTTTCACATAAATTTGTAGTCGAAGGCATGAAGTTTCCGCTTTTTTGATTGTTCAGCCACCTTTATACATGTATTTTCTATTTATGTGCCAAATTTCAACGAAAAATATTAGGGAGCAGATATGTAACGAGGTGCTTTTTTAAATATACTGCTTTTTTGAAGTAGGGTTAGACTAACGTTTTTAGTGGTGTTTTTTTTTAGAAACATATATAAACAAAAAGTATATTTGGAAAGAAGAAAGGTTAGGCTTGATTTTTATAGTACTTTTATTTATAAACACTAAACTTTTTTATGGTTAGTTTTGCTAAAAACTTTCATGAAAATTTTGTTGATGTTCTCACATTAAGTTCTTATCGAAGGAATGAAGTTTCCGCTTTTTTTGTTATTCAGGAACTTTTTTGCATGCATTTTCTGTGTACATGCCAAATTTCAGCCAAAAATATTAGGGAGCAGATAGTATAAGAAGTGTAGGACTTTTGGTACCTAAATTCGGTTTTTTTTGTTTTTGTTTTTGTTTTATCGGTAAGAGAAATACGGGGAGGATAGGGGGGTGGCGAATGGTAAACAAAAAAATTCTTACTACATTGTATTATATAATTTTTAATATTAGATTATTTTAATAAATAAAAAATGGTAAAAGTTATAACAAAGAAGACTTCAAAAAGTAAGTTAATTTGTTTTTCATGATAATAACAAAGTTTGTTTACATCATCATGATGTAAACAAAGATTAAGGTTTTTAAACTTATCATTATTGTTTTGTTTTTTAAAAAAGTTATAAGTTTTAAAACATTAATCTTTGTTTACATATCATCATGATATGTAAACAAAGATTAAGGTTTTTAAACTTATAGTATAAGTTTAAAAACCTTAATCTTTGGTATAAGTTATACCAATGATATATTAAAAAAGATTAGGATTTAAGATTAAACCGTTACTTTGGAATATTTTATTAACTAATAGTATCAGATGCCAATGTTGTTAATACACCATATATATAAAAATATACAAATGACATTATTATACTTTAAAGTAAAACTCTATTGGCTTAAGCCAATACAGTTTTTGACAAAATATTTTTAGAATAATATTATTAATGATAATTTTAGAATAACATTATTATTTTTTTAGAATAATATTATGATTTTATTGATATTTTAAGAATAATATTATTATTGATATTTTAAAATATTATTATTATTGATATTTTTATATGAATAAGCTTATTATTAATAAGCTTATTTTTGTAAAATTATAAAAATACTTTTACAATAATATGTTTATTCTTATTAAAGTATCTTGTTAGTGTTTTTCTAATATACAGTAATATAATTTTAAAATACAGTAATATAATTTATATTTTTTATTATTTTTTTTATTGCTTTTTTTTTAGTTACATAGGTTGTTGTACGTAAAGCAGAACTGATTTGATAACTGTTATTTTTATTGACTGTTGACAATTTCAAGATGTTTTTTTTTTTTTGATTATATAACATTTTTGTTATCTTTAGGCCAATTTGCACAGACTACAGCTGGTAAGTTATTATAGCATAACTTTAATTAACCATTAAATAAATATAAATAAATATGCATTTCTTACTTATTTATTTATTACTTGTCGTGTATGGATTTCCCATTTGCTGCAATATTAATTTTTTAATTTTAGTATCTACCTCTTGTACTACACCTGGTAAGTTACATAACTCTTAATTTTTAATTTGCAAACTTTACAATATGTTTAACTTTAGTTCCTTAGTCAGCTGCTGCAACTAGTAATTTAAAAAAATAATAAATTTAATATGTGTATGCATTTCTCGTTATTTGCAATATTGATTTTTTGTTACAACTTTGTAATTTTAGTATCTACCTCTTGTGCTACACCTGGTAAGTTACATAACTCTTAATTTTTAATTTGCAAACTTTATAATATGTTTAACTTTAGTTCCTTAGTCATCTTTTGCAACTAGTAATTTAATAAAATACTACATTTAATATGTATATACATTTCTTGTTATTTGCTATATTGATTTTTTGATACAACTTTGTAATTTTAGTATCTACCTCTTGTGCTACACCTGGTAAGTTAAACAACTATTAGTTTTTACTATGCAAACTTTATAATATGTTTAACTTTAGTTCCTTAGTCATCTGCTGCAACTAGTAATTTAATAAACTATTACATTTAATATGTATATGCATTTCTTGTTATTTGCAATATTGATTTTTTTTTTACAACTTTGTAATTTTATTTTAAAATAGTTAGTATAATAATTAAGTCAAGTTTTGTGGCTTGCAAATAGATACAGCAAGTTTTGTGGCTTGCAAATAGGTACAGCAAGTTTTGTGGCTTGCAAATGTGTACCGCAAGTTTTGTGGCTTTCAAATAAGTACTGCAAGTTTTGTGGCTTGCAAATAGGTATACATGTTTTGTGGCTTGCAAAAAAAAAAGATAGACGGCTCTGGCTTACCTTCACGTTGTGTCTATTGTTAAAAATGATTTATTTAGTTGCATTGGAACTTAATTTAAATCATTTACTAAAAGCCAAGACATAAATTAATTACTATGTTTTTTGCGGTGCGACATACGCCCTTCCTTAAAGTTAGTGTGCACATCACTAATGTATGTTGTATAGTAAAAAAATATATTTTTACTTTTTAACAAAATATTTAATTATTGTAATAAAGATTAAATTATTTATTAGAATGTATGATTATTGTATTAGGGTGTTATAACATCATAACCACATCTACGGCCAACTCTAAGATCACCTTATTTTGTTTGGCAGTGTTCTGGAATCAAGTTATGGCAATATTTTATGTATAAAATCTAACAATTACATTAAAAAAGTGCTTATTTTTGACAAAAACTTGTATTTTCTTAAGGGTTCGATGGTGTTTCATTACCCCCTCTGGCTCCCAAGATACACCCTACGTCCAGGCACCTATATAAACTTGTAGCCCATTAGTGCACCTATCTTTTGATACCAAGATATAGGTATTTGGATAAAAATTGACAAAGTTATAATAATTTAAGTGAAAAAAATAATTATTTTGACCACAGTTTCTTCAACAATTCCATATATCTTAAATTTGGTACTAAAAACGTTATAACTTTTTTTAGAATTGTTCGTTTTTAATAATTTTTTCACCTTTAAAATACTGTATTAAAGGCCTTTCTAATGATATATGACATTGTACTATATGATTAATTTAAAAACTTCAGTGCGCGTACCTAATCAAAGGACAAAACTAAAGGACATTATGAATAAGCAACAATGTTACGCCTGCGTACCAATATGTAAAAATCTCAATATTGGCCAGTATTTGAGTAATAAAAACAAAGCAATATTGGGCCAATATTGGCAAACAATATTTCACCAATATTTGCATATCAATATTGGCCAATATTGGCATGTCAATATTGCGCCAATATTATATTCCAATAGCAATAAAATAATATTGGCGTAATCTTGGTATGCTAATATTGGCCAATATTGATATGCCAATATTGGCGCAATATTGTTTGCTAATATTGGCGCAATATTGCGTATCTTGGCCAATCTAGGCCAAGATACCCAATATCGCGCCAATATTGTGCCAATATTGTTTGCTACTTGGGTTGCGTAAGCTTTTATAGTGAACGTACTAAGATTCTTTAGTCAATGTCAAACAATTTTATTTTCAATTTTAAATTGTTGAATACAATCAAAGGAAGTTTTTGTTTTTAAAAAAGTATTAAAATGATTGAGGCAAGAATAAGGCATAAAATTCTCTTAATAATCTGCTGTAAGTCTGCTTAACATATAATATAACTATTCAATTAACAATTTTTCTAATACAATCAACTACTTCATTTATCTCAGACATTTACAACATTACATTTGCAGTTTAACAATTACAGCTAAATAGTATTTACTATTCTGGCTGCGAAATATAGATATATAAAAATTAATTTGATCTGACCTGCCCCATCTCTTCTTTACTGTTGAGGATAGATATGTATATGTGATCAATTATTGCAATTTCTTTTCGCTTAATCGCTTTTATACTTTCACTTTTATACTGGAGACCTGTCCTATTTTTAAATAAGTATTCAAATAACATTTACTCTAATATAAACTTGCCCTTTTATTCTCTAAGGTTTTTACGACTTTTTGTGTTCCATAAAGTTATTTAGGTCCAGTTGCTACCAACTAGTCTTTTAGGTCCAGTTGCAAAGTTAAAAAAAAAATTATGTAATACTCATCATCCAGTGAGAACATTCGATGAAAGAACGTCTTTAGGATTTCCTAATCAGGTCTCAACGTCTCAAATACATCTGGTTAAGACCTCTATTTTCAGAAACTTTTAAAATGCTCTTTGAATGTCTCGAAAAAATATTATTTAACGTCTTAATTTTTACATTGGGCACAGGCGTCTGTAGGAGTCTACACAACATTTTAAATACGTCTAGAGTTTGTATGCCGTCTTTAAGATACACAACAAACGTTCTGTGCCCATTGGGGTTGATTTCTTCAAAAATTAAAACGCTTTTTCAGTGAAATGTATTTCCCATTAAATATTATGCGCATTCAATAAGGTTAATTTAAAATGTCTGGTGTGTGAATCTTGATTGATTATCGTTTTTAAGCTATTCTCCAACTTTTATCAACAACGTAAGTCCAAATTTTCTCCCTCCGAGGCTACCGCCTTTCAAGGTTCCTTCCCACTATTAAGCTACTAACTTT